TTCTTCTGCGAATCCATGCAACTACTCCTCAGCCTCATCATCAAAGGATCACAACCAAACCGGCACGCGCTCTCATGTCCTTGGCAAATTCAAGCTTGTCTTTGCTCTAGGACTTTTGCTTTGCTCGTTCGTGTTTGCAACTTTCGCAATCATCAAGACCAGAAAGGTGCGAAGAAATTCGAACTCGTGGAAGCTCACAGCATTCCAAAAGCTTGAATTCGGAAGCGAAGACATCTTAGAGTGCGTAAAGGAGAACAATGTGATAGGGAAAGGTGGAGCCGGGATTGTCTACAGAGGAACAATGTCGAGCGGCGAGCAAGTAGCAGTCAAGAAGCTGTTGGGGATCAACAAAGGATCGTCACACGACAATGGCCTCTCTGCAGAAATTCAGACACTGGGAAAAATCCGGCACCGGAACATTGTCCGATTGCTGGCGTTCTGTTCAAATAAAGAGACCAATCTGCTGGTTTACGAGTACATGCCGAATGGAAGCTTGGGTGAAGTTTTACATGGGAAGAGAGGAGGGTATCTCACGTGGGAGACTAGGTTGAACATAGCCATTGAAGCAGCAAAAGGGCTGTGTTATCTGCACCATGATTGCTCACCATTGATTCTTCATAGGGATGTGAAGTCCAACAACATTCTGCTCAACTCAGAATTTGAGGCTCATGTTGCAGATTTTGGGCTTGCCAAGTTCTTGCAGGACACTGGAACATCAGAATGCATGTCTGCAGTTGCTGGCTCATACGGATACATTGCTCCAGGTAATCCTTTTGCTACATCATTACTCCAATTCGAGGGGAGATTCTTGCATGTAACCAGGATGTGTCTTCATTCATCACGTGCATTACTATTTTTCCATCTCAGACGTCATGTGAGTCACGTTATAAGTGAGAGATAAAAGGATTACACCTAATTATTCTCTTGTTTGAGATTTTTTATTTTAATATTAACATCGTGCAATTGAACAGGCTACTAAGTAGGGGCAATAAGCTCAAATTGACGTATATACTTTGATGCAGCACTTAGGTAAAGTAATTAAAGCATATTCCATGTGTCTCCTCTGACTTGGTGGATTAAGTCGGCCACTTTCAATAATAAAAGAGAGAATGATTACTTCAAATCTTGATTTGTTTTTTTCAATTTGGTATTAAAATATGAATAGATGAATAGAAGATAAAATGAACACATACAAAAACAGGTCACAAACTTTTAATTAAAAATAAAACTCGAAAGGCACTAAGATGTGGACGAAAAGACACCAAATCAGTTTTATTGCGCGTATTTCTCTAGAAAATACATGCTTCCTTTCATATGTATGTACTTTGCTTTTTACTAAAGTAGCAAAGTAGGAGTGGCATATGGAGTCCAAAATAGGCAAAGGCTCCACTGACATAGGTAAATTCTCCTTTTGCTTTTTATATTGCTCTCTACACACAGTGTAGTGTAGTGTAATGCAGCATGAGCTTTTGCATGTTTTGAAACCATAAAATTCCAAGTTCCTTCAGCCCAATCACAAACCCACCTTTTTGACCAAAAACCCATTTGAACCCAAAATCCACAAAACTCCATACAACCCATTAAGAATCTTGCTTGGGATCAAGCTTTACTTTCCCTAAACCCTAGAAAGTGACACAACTGTAAAGAATATGGCATAACCCTAACTTTTTCTTTTACACCCACACCCCCATTGCTTTACCTTACCTGTGTTGTGCAGAGGAGTAAAACAAAATAGAACAGTGGATATATCACGTCTGTATGAGTCATTTTTTACATGAGACTCGTCTGTATTTTAGTCTCATTTGATTCTATATTGTCTCACTTGTGAGAACTATCATAGTCAGACAGCTTTACCGAAGTATTTTTAACAAATCAGTTTTCCTTTTTTCACTTGTTTCGTGTATGTTATGAACTTTTACAACGAGCTGAACTTTTTTACTGTGCCTCATGGAACAGAATATGCGTACACATTGAAAGTTGATGAGAAGAGCGATGTGTATAGCTTTGGAGTTGTACTGTTGGAGCTCATCACAGGAAGAAGGCCAGTTGGTGGCTTTGGGGAAGAAGGAATGGACATTGTTCAGTGGACCAAGATTCAGACCAACTCACAGAAAGAAGGGGTGATAAAGATCCTCGACAAACGACTAGACACTGTTCCGATGGACGAAGCAATGCAAGTGTTTTTCGTCGCGGTTTTATGCGTTCAAGAGCACAGTGTGGAGAGACCGACCATGAGAGAAGTTGTTCAAATGCTTGCACAGGCTAAACAACCAAACACATTTCACATGCAATGATTCAATATATGAATCAGCGCATGGAGCAACAACATTTTGGTGACCCAGCGACAAAAACGTCACGAACATATATAATAAGACGATTTTCGGATCAAGTAGCGAGCATGGTTGAGTAACTGGTATAGCAGTACCAGGCTGGGAACCAAAAGTAATAAGTGAAGAAGGCAGGCAGTCCACATGGTATATACAATGTTTTATGTTTTTTTTTTCTTCTCAATATTTTTGGGTTTTTGTTTGGTATTGTTGTTGTATTTGTTAAAGTGAAGGTAGATCTGTTGTGGTGATTAGTGGCAGGCAAAGGTGGCTATATTGGTACTGGTTAGTTTGTATTATTGTGTCATCATATAAATGTATGACCAAATGATTTGAGGTTGCCTTTATTATACTGTTTTAAACTTTTAGATTTTGTACTCGAACGTTTTGTGCTTTTTCTGATTAGCTAAATCCCACTTAATTAGACTGATGCCCTCAATCATGCCTGATTGGGGAACGCACTAGATGTGGTTGTAATTAGACTTGTCAAATCGACTTATTGGGTTGGTAATGGTACTTGTTAAGACCCGTTTAATTTGGTCTCACCATAATATAGAGGTGATTTTGATAGTGGTGATGATGGTATAAGGTGAAATCAAACTAAATTGGTCTTAATAGGTGCCCATTAATAACTTAATGGGTTGATTTGCACCTCTAATTGTAACTCTGCAACTTACAAACCAAAGTATTTCAAAGTCTAATCGTTCTTTTCTTCTTCTTCGTAAGTTTTTCAGGAAATATACACAAATGTAACTCGTTACAGATTTTGAATAAAAAATAAAACTCGAGGGACACTAATACAATGATAAACGCGACACAAAACCGCACGTTGTTCATATACAACCAGTTGAGCACCATTTAAGGGCTCTTATAAACCTTCTCAAACTCTAGATATAATCAAGTAACAAGAAGTTAAAATGGGGTAACAATCATCACATGTTTTAGAAGAGGATAAATTATAAAGGTTTCAGACAACATTTTTCAAGATCCTGGACTTTCGTCTACTACCATGACTCGAGCTTCTCTTCAGGTACTCTACCCCTTGATTCAAGGTTTGGCAGAAGTATTACCCGAGGTTTCACTGGAGTATCTCCTGCGCCTGTCTTTGGCTAAACTGACACTCATGACATTGTTGTATCTGAGCTTGTCCTTTCCAGCAGAGAGGGTGAAAGCAGTAACCAAAGCACTCCAACTGTCTGGCAACGAACACGACATCATCACGCCCTTGTCTCGAAAATTTAATAGTAATAGCTTCGAACTTGCTCATATGATGCACTGCAGAAGCGCCTTCTTTCATCCTCAGATTCATCAACTGTTGCAGCAGTTGCACCTTATTGCACACTGTCGATTTCAGCTCATACACATCAGTCCGAGCAGCCATTAAACCTTATGTGGTCTTCTCATTTGCTGTTCTTAGGGCAATGCTCGTTGACAATGTCGCACAGGTAGTTTTTAGTGCCTGTCTATCAAGGATTCTCCATTCAACATCCTTCATATCTTCTGGTCTTTCTCCTAAAAGTGGAAGATCAAGATCATTTACGCATAGCAAGTCCTTAATCCCCACCTTCGTGTGTTTCCCGAAAAAAAATTTGTTGTGCCCATTAGGATCTTTAACATAGGCCATTTACTCTTGCCCGACAATTGCAATGACTCTTGTAAACTTACACACTAATCAATTTGCATAACATATAATTAAACAATATCAAGTGAATTAATATAAAGGTCTCAGTCATCACATCTTGTAAAACAGGCTATATCAACGAAGAAAAGGATTTGAGACAACATTTGGTAAGATCCAACATCAACTAACACTAATAGGATCCAAAACAGAACAACATTCTTAGTACTTGTGATTCCTGGAATTTCGCCTACCATGATTCGAGCTTCTCCCCGATGCTCTACTGCTTGAGTCAAGGTTTGAGGCACAAGTTTTACCTGAGGTTTCACTAGATAATCTCCTGCGCCACTCTTCGCCTATGATAGCGCTCCAGACATCATTGTACCCGAGCTTGTCCTTTCCAGCATTGAGGGTCAACGCAGTCACCAAAGCACTCCAACTGTCCGGCAAAGAATCCAAGAGCATGAAAGCGTTCATCTCGTCGTCAAATTTGACGTTGATAGAGGACAATTGAAAGATAATGTAGTTGAACTTGCTCAAATGCTCGGTTGCGCTAGTGCCTTCTTTCATCTTCAGATTGAGTAACTGTCGTGTGAGTCAGTTGCACCTTATTGTACGCAGTTGGTTTCAGAGCGTACATGTCAGTCAGAGTAGCCATTAGACCTTCTGCGGTGTTCTCATTTGCTGTTCTTTGCACAATTTTCTTTGACAACCTCGCACGGATAATTTCTAATGCCTGCGCGTCAAGGAGTTCCCATTCGAAATCCTCCATACTTTCCGGTTTCTTTCCTTTAAGAGGAAGAAGATTGAGATCATTTACGCATAGGCAGGCCTTAATCTTAATCTTCCATGTCTCAAAGTCTGTACCGTTGAACATGTTAACATACTTCCCGACTTCTTCAACCATTGATCCTCTGCAAAAAAATTAGTGAAGCAAAACTCGGATACTAGCTGTTTGGAGAAAATTCAGTATCCAAAACAGGAATATCCAATAACAATTGGGTAAATTAGGGTTAATAAATGACATTATATAGGGTTAATTAAAAACAGAAATCTAGCAGTACAAAACGAAATTTGGTGAATTTAAGGAACAGAATTAGGCAAAATTACACAATTTGGTTCAGAAACGTCCGCAATGCCAAAGGAAACAAGTAGGATTACAACCCAAATAAACTCTAAACTGATCAATCATTTGTACAAAATAATTCATATTTACAAGCCAAGTTTCTTCGGCCTCAAGTATGCAGAAGAGCCCTGGTGCGAACCCAGCATTGGGACGACTTGCTGCTGCTGCTGCTTGGATCTCTTTTCCCTCTCCTTCTGCTTGCTTGCTTTCTCTGCCTCTGCTCGAGCCCTTCTCAGATTCTCCATTTCCGCCTGCATTGCTGTCTTTTCCCCCTTTTGTCTCTTCTTGTGCTCCAACATTGAGTTATCCGACTCCTTCACATAATAGAACATGGGTCCGGACTCAGCCAACCATTGCGGTTCCACCGCAGTGGCACACTGCATATACTCCTTCCTTGTCAAAACTAACTCATGATAGACCACATACTCTGGATTGCAGCCCATGCCATAAAGCGCACTGCTCGGGTGTAAATAGCATGGCATTCCAGTCCGGCAGTTAACATACTCCCCCACACCCTTTAGTCTTGCCGCATTCTGAAAGTACGCGGAGCAAATAGCTTGTCTCACCTTATCAGTATCAGGCCAACAGGATGTGAGTGGGACTTTGACCTTGAGTGTCTTTAGTATCTCTAGGAGTTGGGACCTCACCTCTCTAACCTTTCGCAGCCCTTTAACTTGCAAAAAGTGGTCATCACACCAGTCCCCACGACACTGGTGTCGTTCCCACTGCTGATAAACATTGTACAGTGTCAAGTGGTCGGACTCTGGGAAGGAGAATTTCTCCCTTGCAGCATCACTCTCCTCTGCCCTATCTTTGGGCCTAAAGAATACCGACGGCACTGAAAGCATGGACACAATTGTCAAAACCTCATCTAAACATCCTAGCTTTTCACCCATCAATAGCATTTTAGCGAGTGGAGGGTCCAACGGCAATTCCACCATTTTCCAGCCCAGGTCAGTTAACCGCCCCTCATTGTTAAGAGCACCCAACACCCACAACTGGTACATAGAATGGAGAATATTATCCTTGGGCGGTGGGTCTACGAAATCAAAATCTAGTATCTTATCAACCTGAAGTGATTTGAGCAACAAGACCACATATCCGAGGTTGGTCCTCTGGATCTCTGGCACAGGATTTGGCAGCATTTCATTTAAGTACGCATTCTCTGTGTACAGCCGATAACATGTTCCAGGCTTAGTTCTGCCAGCACGCCCAGCACGTTGGCTAGCAGCAGTCTGACTAATAGGAAATACTTGAAGAGCATCCATACCCATTTTGGGGTTGTATACTTTCATTTTACCATATCCCGTGTCGATGACATATGAGATTCCATCTACCGTCAAAGATGTCTCAGCAATGTTGGTTGCCACAATACATTTACGAGCCCCATCTTCAGCTTTTTGGAATATCTTTGCTTGCAAGTCAGCAGGCAACTGTGAATATATAGGGAGTATCAAGAGTTTTGGCACCTCTTTAACCGAGGTGGAGATAATTTGTTCCATCCGCTCTGAAAGGGCATAACAAGCTGCCTCGATCTCATCCTGGCCGGTCATGAAGATGAGGATGTCACCTTGAGTGCCAGTGATGTGAATAGTTATGGCTTCCTTCACTGCAGCTTCAACATAATCTTCACATGGGGTTTTACTATACCTGATACTTACTGGAAATGTTCTCCCAGGAATTTCAAAAATCGGTGCACTTCCAAAAAGGTTTCTAAACTTCTGAGCATCTAGTGTTGCAGATGTCACGATAAGCTTAAAATCACGCCGCCGGGCAACCACTGTTTTCAAAATCCCAAGCAGCACATCCGTGTTCAGTGACCTTTCATGGGCTTCGTCCATCACAACTACGTGATACTTGTCAAGATCAGAGTCTCTAAGTGTTTCGCGCATAAGTACTCCATCAGTCATGTACTTTATTATGGTATTTGGTCCGGTCACATCCTCAAAACGAATGGCGTACCCAACTTTATCACCAAGCTCAGTCTCCATCTCTTCACTAACTCTCTTTGCAACACTCATGGCTGCCACACGTCTTGGTTGCGTGCAACCCACAATGCCGTTTACAGTGTAACCCTCTTCGTGCAGATACTGTGTCAGTTGAGTCGTCTTTCCAGAACCAGTTTCTCCAACAACAACAATAACTTGATTTTCTCGAATTACCTGTAGTAAATCATCCCTCACAGAATATATGGGCAAAAACTGTCGTTGCTGTGAGATGGTTTTTGACTTTGCGAATTCACTCGCTGCTTCCCCATCCTTCATATGCTGTGCAAACTTTGCATCTTCTTTGAAATCAATTTCACCGTCTGCACCAGCAGCAGCAGTATCTGCATCAATCTGCTCCGCTGTTTTCTCAACACCAAGGATATCGCCTAGTTTAGAACCTGCAAGCTCCCAAAAACGTTGACGCGATTTGTTCATAGTTTGCTTCTCATGAATTTTCCTAACGAGAGCAGACCCTTTGCGAGAAATTATGGCCATATCGGATGTGGAATCCTTTATTGGCATTATCGTCTCTGCTCGCCTGGTAAAAACAGCAGTTCCGTCCTTTCCAATTACACTGTCCTCAAGGAAAGGAGGCTTTAAATTTGTATCATGTACAAGAAGAATAACTTTGTGCTCTTCTTCATCATCGAGCTCAGTCTGCAACCCAGTCCCTCTAACAGCACCAGATCTTATAAGTTGACGATCCTCCCACCGCGCAGTATCAGCAGTGAGCTGAGACAACTTTTTGCTCTGAGCAAGGGTCATCTTAGTTCCATCTCTTCGAACCAATCTTTTCGCCAACTCTGCTTCCTTCTTTTGAAAAGAAGCATCATCTCCGTAAAACAAAGATAAGCTATCAACTGTATCGAACATTATGTTTCCTTCTTCCCTATCATACCATGCTCGGTCAGAATTGTATTCCATCTCTAGACGCATGCTTTCGCTTATCTCATATTTCTGTCCTTCATCCAAATCAGCCATGTCTCCTTCTCCATCCTTGAATGATTGTGAATTTTCTGAGTGAAAGGCAACTTTACGAGAACTCACACCATGTTTCGAACTTGAAAATTTAACCGCGTCTCCAGAAGGACAAATTCGAACTGGAGACGATGAGATGAGATCCCACGGAGAAGCATCAGAACCAGAAAAATTACATCTACTCCGCTTTCTTCCATATTGTCCACCACATTGATCATGTTCATACCCGTCACTTGCTTTCCTTCGACGACAAGAATCCTTACCATAACTACCACTACCATCTTTGCAATCTCTCCTCCTACTACCATGCTCTTCCCTGTCGTAATCATACCTACCCTCACAATCTCTCGGTGCCTCGAATCCGCCATCACCGCCCCCAAACCCTTCCCGTTTCGCATTAGCATGGACATCGAAACCCAAGACAGATTTCTTCCCCGGACGCCTAAAAACAACTCTGTCCTTCCCTGAAACATATAATCCCCGACCACCACTGCTATTTTTTTTGTTCCATTGTCACCCTTGCCTTGTCCAAACCAACAGATTCAGACCTTTGTTTTCAATAGAAAATCACAAACAAACAACTTATACAGCAAGAAACCTATATATAAGGACTTTATAAAAACCTGGTACAACAACCTAGTCCCTCACAATTGTCTAAGGAAATTGGAAATTTTTTACGTGGGAAACTTTAGGAAACAGAATTTGGGCAGAATTCACCAGCCAAAACCAATTTTTTTTTAAAAAAAAATTTATATAATTTGTTTGATTTACTAAAAATATCTAAATGCTAAAAAAAAAAATCAAATCAAGAGTGATAGATTAGAAACAGAACTATGGGGTCTCTCTTACCTTGGGGTGGATTCAGGGCGGCTGTCGAATTATGACCATGAACCCAGAAAAGTCAACTTTGTAAACCGTGTTCGATCAGAAAAGGTCAAAACTTTGATCTGGGTAGCAATATTAAGCTGGATCCTGTTTTGGGTCGGTTGTACTTTCTCTATTTGGTCCTTGGGCCTTTGTATTGGGTCAGCACAGCCCAATGTGGTAAAAACAGAGGCCGCCCACCAACCTCTGCAAGTTCCCGCTTTCACCTGGACTTAGTAAACAAACACCAGAAACCCTAGAGAAATATTGCCAAGCAAGAAGAGGACGCAGCAAGCAACCCAATCAGTCCTAAATATTTGATTTCTGAAGGTACGTTGGAGTTTTTTGTTAAAGGTGGCTCCTTTATTTCAATCAGTTATTGTTGGGCTGCAATTTCTCATACCATTGTGCTTTTTTTTTTTTTTTTTTTTTTTAATTTCCTTCCCAACTCTTATGCTATCTCAGATCATAAATTGCAGTTTATTGGATTACCCAGATGCTTAATTTTTGATTTCTTGAGTAATTCGTGCCTTCACTGATTGAACATTGAGTTTTTTTCTTTGATTATTATTATCATTAAATTAAAATTCTGGTGTAATTATTTAGTTAATTTTGTGAGTTTTGGTACTTAGAGCTGGAACCCAGAAAATATTGGTACTTTGTGAGTTTCTGTCCAAACTACTACCCAGAAAATATCATACTCATAGATTTTGGTTCCCAGTTACATCAATGTTTACGTCTTCCTTGAAATTACTTTGTTATGATAGGTTCTACACAAGATGTCCTCCAGAATCGCCCAAATCCGCCTTGTCAGTTCTCACCCCGAGGTTTATGAACCGTGTGATGATTCGTTTGCTCTAGTAGATGCGCTTTTAGCTGATCGAACAAACCTGTTGCAGCACCAACCGGCATTGTGCCTGGAACTGGGTTGCGGCAGTGGCTATGTCATTACTTCTCTAGCTCTTATTGTTGGCCAGGAGGCGCAGTATATTGCGACTGACATTAACCCCCATGCGGTGAAGGTGACTCATGAGACGTTGGAAGCACATGGGGTTCATGCGGAGTTGATAAATACTAACATTGCATCAGGACTGGAGGAGCGTCTGAAAGGTTTGGTTGATGTAATAGTTGTGAACCCACCTTATGTGCCGACCCCTGAAGATGAAGTGGGACGCGAAGGAATAGCATCTGCTTGGGCTGGCGGGGAGAATGGACGTACTGTGATTGACAAGATGCTGCCGGTTGCTGACACTCTTTTGTCAAAGAAGGGCTGGTTGTACATGGTCACTCTTTCAGAAAACAATCCCTCGCAGATATGCCTTCAAATGAGAGAGAAAGGCTATGCTTCCAGAATCCTTGTCCAGAGATTGACAGAAGAAGAAAATCTACAAATCATCAAGTTCTGGCGGGATTCCGATTTGCAAGTAGCGGAAAAGGAAAACAAAACAGTTCCTGCAAAGGACATGGAGTCTTTGCTCTCTGACTTCCATATATTCCCGTTTCTGAGAGGCAGTCACGACGACAGTAGCTGATGAATCGAGAAGAGGGGAAACATAAGTTGTCTAGTGTGTACATGATGGAAAAATGGTTTCTATTCTCATATTCTTATGAGTTCTGGAAACCTTTGTCTGAATGTGAGATGCACACAATTGAACTGTTTGGTGCCGTCGGGGACTTCGCTTATACGATCATTTTCTACGAAAATATGTAAGTCCCGGATTCATGTTTTCACAAGCATCTGCAGAACATCTTCATCATATTGTCATAGTTTTATACCAAGTAATTTGGGTGTAATTCTTACAAGTTGTCTAGGAATGTCAGGTGCAATCCTTCCAGGTTTAGGTTTAGTCGAGGTTCGAAATGATAGCAGAAAGTAACGAATGGAGAGCTGCAAATTTCTTGAACGGGTATTTCTTGAAAGCCAAGGTAACAAGTACGGTTTACAACCCAAACAAACCCCAATTGCTAGAGAACAGAAATAATATTCATATGATCCATTCTTTTGCGAACAGGCATCCTTTTAGAGAAAACCGACAAGTTGATCCATATAACATACCTATACAGAAAAACGATCAGTAGTTCTTCCATTAAGGAGATTTACAGAGCTGTCAATGGTAAAACCTGCACAAAACTACGTTTCAGAGTCTCCGGTACTGCACTGAATGAACAGTCGTTTGACGTTCAAGCGAGATCACATATTGGAGATCTTTTTGGTCCTCCTTACGGCAGTCTTCGCAAGAGTATCACAAATCTCTCTATTCCGTTTCGAGCCTGCAACTTTGTTGCCGCCAATGGCTTCAGAAATCTTCCCCTGGACTTTTCCGCCAATGGCTTCGGGACTTTTCCCCTGAACTTTTAGTGCCTCCTTTACAAAAACCTTTAACCTCCATAATGTGCATTCATTCTGTGTAGATGGGATGGAAGAAATGAAAGAATAGACATCTGAATTAGCATCATGCCAAATGAATTTAAACGGAAATACGACGGTTTGATATTGCACTACTACATTCAATTTAAATGACTGCCAGATCACAGCAAAAACAAATAGATAAATAGATGATGACCTGAGCATCAATGTCAAGATCCACTTCTTGCGCAGTTGCTTGGAAGTTGGGGTTACTCTGTGCAACAATTTCTAGAGCCTTGCTGAGATCTTCGGCAGATAACTGCGAGAGAGCTGTCCCGAGTTTTCTTTTATCATCCGAAGACATTTTCCTAAATCAATCCACAGTTAGACGCTTCACAGATGCCAAAATGATCAATGAAAAATAACAGACACAACAAGACCATGCCCATGTTGTTGCAAGAACAATGCTGGATTCAGCAATTCAGTAAGGCCCATTCACAGTTTAACCACCCAACTAACATGAAGCTACACATCCAATTTTGTCGGTTGCAACACGGCAATAAAATGCACTTTGATTTGAAGTTTCTAAAACTATATATAAACCCAAGCAAAAACACAAGCAATTTAGTTTAATTGTAGAGTGGATAAGGGTTCTTAACAAACCTGCACTTCTGAACCACTGTTTGTCTAAGGTTCCTCAAATACACATCAATCTCAAAAAGCTGAAAATGATTTCGTCAAAAAAAAATGTAGATCATGCGTCAGAATTTACTCCTAAAAATAATCGAACTTTTGACTGGCATTGTGTATGTAAATGCATGTTGCTATTAAAAATTAGAATAACGAGAGAAAATTGAGAAGCTTCGTTGCAAATTACTACGAGGATTCTGAAATTTGACAAACCTCATTGCTTAGATCCTTAGCTGTGCTGGCATATGCAGCATCCTGAGATAGTTGCATGTTTCGCCGTGCCTCTGCTTCCTCGTCTGCTCGTCTTGTTTCCTATAAATAGTTAAAACTTAGGTTGAAAGTTAAAAAACTATACTGAAACAAGAAGACAGGCAACCTAAAACACATCCATTCACAATGAAAGGCTACTGAATTCGTTAAAAAAAAAGTGTTGGTAACAAGGTCCATGAAGTCCTGCATAAGATATTTTCGCATTAAGAATAGAAACTTACCTCTTCAACAACTTTAGGCAGAAGCTTTAGCCATTTTTCTTCGAATTTTTGCAACAACGATTGGGCCATCACATAGACATCCTCACCTTCATCATTATATTTCATTGCATTCTTGAAAACCAGCCTCACATCAGCATATATCTCCCTGACATTCTTATACTCACTACCATCCTTGGCTTCCATTCTATTTTTTATGGTACCAAGGTCCATGGGCTTCTCAATGACCTAACGTAAGACATGAAACAAATTAGCAGACCATCAAAAAGAATTTTCTTCTTTGTTGAAAAAGAAAGATGTATAATAAAGAATGAATGAACACTACGTGAAAGACGACAGACCAACAACAGAGAAATCAGTATGAGACAATTAGATATATGCATCTTCAAATCGACAACTAAAAGTTCGACAATTTTTTGCTTTTTTAATACTTTAATGAGGACCTTTGAGAAAAGTACAGCGTGTCCTCATCAGCATAGTGAGTAAATTTTAAAACAATTAAAAATGTACAAAGTCTTTTTGATAAGTGAAGAAGATGATAACATTTGCCCATAAAGGTAGAGATTACTAATCAGAAAATTCTAAAGGAAGAAAACTTTACTTGATAATAGTCATGCAATCCCAGACCTTCAACATCTACAGGATTCATAAAGGGCCACGCCCATTCAAGCTTAGTGATCTGAACAGTGCCAAGTGAAGCCATATTAACTAGTGTTAACCCAGATAAATCATTTTTATTACTGTTTTAGCAACAAAGCATCTAATTGAAGTTTTAATGAAAAACCATGTACATGTTAGTGAATGCGAAAAAAATCAAAGTCCACTCAAATTTGCAGCTGGTACTTCACCCATGTAGATACAGCATAAATACCAGATATCAGAATATTTTCCTACATCAAAAAAGACAACTTTCTTCTAGCAAGAAAAAATTCAACATTTTATGAGTCTCCTTGCTTCTGCTTTTTCTGAAAAACATTATCCACCTAAAAGAAACCGTGCAAGAGGGTCCAGACTCTAACAAGTAACAACTAAAGTTTCTCATTTAGCTTGTATGTGAAATTAGAAGTATCACTCAACATGAACATCTGGTCACAAAAATTGACAACGGCGTCTAGCTTTTTATAGAAATTTTATAGTAGTAAATTAGAAAAGGTGCAAAAAGGGTAAAGGAAAACTTAGGAAGACCTGGATTGTGCTCTAAGCAAAAGGGGTAGAGCAAGACCTAGGAAGACTTGGATTGTGCTCAGAGCAAAAGGGGTAGAGCAAGACCTAGGAAGGCTTGGAAAGAGACTTTAAGAAAAGACATAGAGTACTTGGAGCACGCAATTTTATAAGGTTTTGTTGTAGAAAAAAAAAACACCCCGACAACTATAAGTTTTATATAAGGAAAACTAATGAAAATGACTTGAAAACTTTGAGTTTTAACGATAAGGACAAAATAAAGGGTAAAGTGAATAGTACCAGGTTTTACTTTTTAGTGTAAAAATGTGGTTTTTTGTTAAAGTGAACAGCACCATGGGTTTTTCATTAAAATTCCCTTTTACATAAACCGTTCAAGAACTCAATTGGAGAGGAAAAAATACTTCATCTATCCACTTGTCATGCTCTAGTGGATTCTTAGTTGTGAAATTCTTATGCTGCCCTGCTCCCATTACAAAATCAACAGGATCTTTTTCCCTAAAGTATTGGGTTTTAACTTTGAATTTCTTTTTCCCTAAAATGTCATGTTATCAAGGGCCGATATGTGAAAAGCTCTTCTAAAACTGCTGCTATTTGTTCCTCACAACAAGTCCAAATGACTGTCTTTTACCAAGAGAAGGTATTAATTAGGATGTTATAATTTGACCAAACATATTCGATTTTGCTCCGCTTCCAACACTATATCATCTGACTTTTCCCCTTCCCCAGGAAATTACTTCTAAACTTGCTTCAAAAAATCATATATCCAACAATATTATAAAGAAGGAAAATAGTTAAAAAAACATGTGAAGAATTAGTGAAAGAAAGAACCCTTAGATGTAAGAAAATATCTTCATTAAAATATACCCAAGTACTTGCATCCATTGCAAAACGTTTGGTGCTTGCCTGACGGAACATTGCAGAAAATTGGCGCATAAGCTCTTGCATTCTCTTTGTAGCAGCGGCTTCCCTACGTGATGCATCTTGCTGCTGCTTCTTAGAAGCAGTTAGCTGTTTATCCTTCACAACTGCAACACCTTTTGAAGTGGGTAGATGCGGATTTCCCGTAGTCAAGTAAAACCGTTCCACCTCATTCACTCTTTTCTCAAGCTGCAAGTAAAAGACAAGTTAGCCAATCTTGTTCACAAGTTTTAAAATTTTGGACAGATTTCCCATAAATGAAAAAATTGCACAAAACCATAGGTAAAATCCATAGTAGAAGCTGACCAACATATTGATAATTAACGACGAAAAACCAAACTATTGGAGTGGAAAATCATATAACACCTACCAGATTAGACGACGAAACTAGAACTTGAATTACATAAAGAAGATACCCGTTTATAATTAGTGAAAAGAAGCCTCACCGTATCGACCTTTGCAGAAATCTCATCAACAGAATGATCAAATCCCTCCACTACAGCTGCACCATCAACACTTGTAAAATCTGGGTTTGATGAACTTGCTGGCTCCATCTGTTAGGACAACAAAAAGATTGAATTTAAGCAAAATCATTCCAGAATTTATTCCCAATTTCTAACCATCTGGAATTTTTCAACTAAAACAATTCGAAAAAGCTGAAATTAATAAAAAAAAATTGTGAATTTGATCCAAATTAACTAGAACATTGGAAAGAAACAATTAAAGATTGTATCTTGATCGTTAAACTCTAAACCCCTTTTCGTTGCATCAATCAAAGATGAGAGAGAGAACCGAATTGAACCCAACAAGCGAAAGCCTTCCTCTTCGCTAACAAATAATTAAATGAATAAAGTTGTTCAGGATATAGATATGGGTGTACCTGGAAGAGCAGAGACGCAAACTTAGTCGGAGAGGTCAGAGTGAGAGAGACGGGAAGAAGCTGAAGAAGAACGCGATGCGCGATCACCAGTTGTTCAGTATTTGATCCGAACGAACTCGAATATTTTGAAATTGGGCTGTTTATTTATACTTATTGGGCTCGTGCCTTTTGTCTTTCTCGTTTTGAACGGCCCAAGATTGCTTTTTAATTTATTCAACTTAATCGTCGTGAATAATCAGAGGTGAGTAAATCCGAAGGGTAAAAAAAGGAGTGTGGAGATCACTT